AACTTGGTATGCCTACCCCCACCCCATATAGCCATACAGTTACACATGAGAGACCATCTAATACTTCATTGATACTAATAATAATGATCCATCATAATCTAATTTCTAACCAATAACATCTAGACAACTACATAGAAAAAAGAAAATCTAATTTCAAACTAGTGAATAGATATGTTCACTACAAATATAGTCACCAAGATTGTAAAATCCAAACAAGTTATGATTCAATCAATAATCTAGATGTTTGAATAAGAGTTTGACTCAACAATGTTTGTGTAAGAGTTTCACCTAACAATATATAAAACATTTTCAAGCATATAAAATCCACAATCTTTTTTTTTTTCTCAATTGCATCGAGTAGCTAATGTGACATATTACATTCCTAATTCTACGAGCCACCTTTGTGCCATGCCCCTCGAGGCCAGCCCAAACAAGTCCATGTTAGGGTCTTAAATTCTTAGTTTTCACACAAAAAATAATGATTGTATAGTTTTAATTGCATTTAAGAAGATATTTCATTAGGATGAATGAATTGACAACATTATGAAATAGGGGGGTTCTCTTTGCTTTGGACTTGTTTGGGTTGGCCTCGAGGGGTGTGGCACAGGGGTCCGGGGGCAGAGCCCCCGACCCAGCCGCTAGACTCAAAAAAAGGAAAAAGCGACAAATTTTCAAAAGGCGCACGCCTGACTAAGGACCTGGACGAGACGCATACCCTAAAATGCACCTCACCTGTGCACCTCAGGCATGCCTTTTAAATCATTGGATATATGTAATTTGTATAAATATGTTCATTATTATAAACAATACTAGATATTCAAAACTGAGCTGCATTAGTCAATCCAAGGAAAAAGAGAAATACTAAAAATAGGAAGAAATAAAGAAATAGAGAGCAAAGCTTTAATGAGTCCATTAACAAAGTTGTATTTAACAAAACATTTAGATAATTTCTCTCAGCATCAACAATTTTTCCCAAAATTTCTACTCCAACCCATCACCAATGGATTATCCCAAACCATAAATGTTACCTTGGTAACGACAAATGGATTCATCCATAAGTTGATTCTTCAATAACCTTCTTTCTTTTTCCTTGTAATTGACAATAAAAACTAACTCATTAAGAAAAATAAGAGGCATGAAATAGACTAGGAGCCAAGGGAGCACCCATCAAAGTTGAACTTTGTCTCATACACTCCAAGTGGCTTTCCTTCCAACTAAGAATTGATGTTGGACTAACGATTTATAATTAAATTCATAGGCCAATTAGTAGGACCCCATCTGATGAAGTAGGTTTACCATGGTTACAAAAGAATGATGCCAAAACAGAGAATTGGGGCAATTATAGGAATAGATATTTCATGGAGCCCCCGGGGTTCTTAACTTCTTGTACAACTCAAAATAGGTTTAGTAACACCTATGCTTAGATTTAAGTAGTTGGTTATTTGTTTTCGGACTTTGTTCTTAGGGATATGAAAAATTGCATTAGTTTTTTAGATAGATAGAGAAATTAAAATAGAAAAAGGATTTACTAATGCCACTTCCCCCTCCATATTCCTTAACACAAAAAAAGGGTGGAATATTAATAAATATAACCAAATAAAGGTGATTGTAAATGAGATTCTCAGAGAACTCCACAAATATTCAACTATCCTCCATATGGCTTTACTAGAAACTCAGAGATAACTACTATATCTAGACCATGGTAATAAGACTTGATAGAGAATGGACCAGATTTAGAACGTACCCAATATCTGGAATCTTGAGTAAGAATATTAACTGAATGAGATTGAAGTAGAGCCAATGGATCTGACACCTAGGATAGTTTCTAGTCATTAAAACTTCACCAAAACACTCATGTTGCCACTTGGAAACCAACATGTATTGTTTTTATGAAACTATACATATAAAGGCTTCACTTGTTCAAACACTCGAATGAGCGATTGAAATCATGGTGGCTTCCATTTTTATGAAATAGTGGAAAGTAAAAGGGATCTGTTTGTGATAAGCTTGAAATGTTAATTCGAAGGAGTTGGGACTGGATGTAAAGCAAATGGCTTTAATAGCAATAATATGGATTGAATGTTATTATTGAGAGAAGTACTAGGAAAAACTTTTCTACTTTCCAAGGACAGAAGGTAGAAACGGTAACCAATAATAGGGGTTCATTTACCTATTGTAAATGGTAAGTTTAACACAAGCTAGAAAACACTTTAATAGGGGTTTATTTGTTCATCATTTACCTTGCGAGAACCCTATTCGACAAAGGCAAGAGTAAGAAGAAATCCCGTTTGACAATTGTTTGTAATGGGATGCATTCGAGGTTAGGAAAAAAAACTAGTGTCGATAATGAGAAGAAGAAAATGGTGTTTGAACAGCAGCCTCACCAAAATGAATGTCGATGAAGAGGAGCCCTCAATAGCGGCAAGAAATGTGGAAGAGGAAACTGAACAACTGAAATAAGGGATTTTTTACTGTGGGTGTGTCTTCCATTATCATGGTTGTGCGAAGCAATGAATCAATTGTTATCCTACATGGCAAGTTGCCACATTGGATTACACTTGGAAGCACATTGGATTGCATTTCTGAATCGGTGGGCGGATTCAAGAAACGTCAAAAAGGTGTTTCCGCTAAAAAGGTGAAATTGGGCATTTCGATGCAATAACATTTTTGACTGTTTCTTAAGTATATTCTTGGCATCGATGCTGCAGATATAACATCATTTTCTCTGCTGATGTGTGGGTTGGAAGCACAGTTTTTCGAGAAAACAGTGTATTTTTTTTGTTTGGAATCGTTGCTATAAGGTAGGAAGTTTCTTGGAGCAACAACAACGTTTTCAGCACAGGCACCCATTATCCGGTGCCACATTACTACCACCTCACATCATTGTTGGCAACAATGAGCTGCAACTCCAGAAAACACCAAATTTGACGTTACTCCAAGCCATGCCTTTTTGATTTCCAAGGTGTGGCTGGAGCACCATTTTTTATGAAAAAACGGTTCCAAACAAACATTCATTTCTTGGAGCATCGTTTTTTCCGACATGACACCGTTTTCTAGAACAACGGCAACAATGCCAAACAGACGCTCCCAAATACGATTTTCACACTGATTCTGTTTATTTGCTGATATGTTATTGCTGCCACCTCAGCAAAAACGAATCACTAGAAAATCGCATTGGTGACAAACACCCACTACTCTATCAATATTGATTTCAGGGTCATTTCTAACCTTGGTCTTGGTGGTTCTAGGCTGATTACAAGGACAAAGCCAAAACAGATCTGGATGAAATTAAGTAGGGTTGGTTTAAGGTCGGTTCAAGGTAGATTCTATTGGACTTATAAGTTATAACTCGGTTTAAATAATTTTTTTTTGTGTAAATTACGAAGACCCCCTATACTATGGATCTGTGACAAAGACTCCTGTATTTTGTTTTGCGATAAAGACCTGACCGTGAGACAAAGACCCCCCCTTCTATTGAAGTCCGCCATTGTGAGAAAAATACTGTTCATCTTCCCCGGCCTTAAGATATACGAACAGTAGCGGTGATAATCCCTTATACCTCAAATTCCTTCACACATCTCTCTCTCCCCCTGATTTCTCTTCTTCTCCATCCCCTTTCTTCTTCCAGATTTCCTTCGTTTTCCGTTCCTCTCGGCCTATACTTTGAGTGAATTCTCAAATTCACTCAATTTGAGAATTCATCGGCTCAGTCACTTATATTTACTCAAGTAAGATATCTTTCTAGGTTGAGTTGACCTAGAAGAAAGCCCACTTATAAAACAAACCATCAGAAACTAACAAAAGGAAAAATAAAATAAAATAGTTTTAATCGGTAAAAATAAAATCGACTGATAACGAAGCAGTTTTGAAACCACTTGTTCCACAAAATCCTTCAAGCTACTCCAGCTCCACAAAACGAAGAAATCTTGAAAACAAAAATGTAGACTCAACAAGTACGGCAAAAATAACAGGCAAAGGTCAAAACGCAGATCCAAATGCACCATACTAACAATTCAGCAATACTAAACTCAAATCGCTTTTGTTAAGTAGTTAACTAACGAGGAGGAGAATGAATCGAAAAAGAAACCAAAAAACAACAAATGTAGCTCCAAGTATTGCAAATTTCTACTCAAAAAATAATGCCATTGAAGATCTGGAAGTCGAACAACTAGTTGTACAAATTGCAGAGAGCAGAGTGCAGTTACCTTCGCATCCGTCGGGTGAGAGAGGAGAGAGGAGAAGGAAGTCATTTGCAGTAGTCGAGACTCGAGAGTCGAGAGGGGAAGGTTCGGTCTTTTCTTTTGAACTTGGATTCTACGGCAAGAGGTGGGAAGAAAGAAAATAAGTAGACAAAACAAAACTGCTGGCCTTTTTTCTTTGAGACTATATTATAGTACACGCGGACTCAGAGTCAGAACTCAGAAGAAGAAGAAACTCTATTGTTGGTTTCTGTTACTATTTACATAGAATGCCACTTAACGTAAACTTCCCCGCTTCTCAGGGGTAGTCGATGACTAATGTCACGGGCAAGAACAAGGGGAGGAAGAAAATGAAGAAAAAAAAGAATGAGGAAGAAGAAGGAACAGACAGAGAGAAGAAGCGAGAGGAGGAGGTGGCTATGGCCGAGAGGAACAGAAAAATAAGGGAAAGCGGGAAGAAGAAAGCGGAGGAGAGAAAGGGAAAGGGGAAGAAGAAAGATCGGGGGAGAGAGAAAGAGAAATATGAAGGAATGTGAAGTAAAAGGGATTATCGCCGTTGCTATTCGTGTATGTGTATTTTTCCGCGTTGCTGTTCGTGTATCGTGAACTCGAGAAAGATGAACAGTAATTTTTTCATCTCACGATTATAGTACAAGGGAACTTTGTCGCAAAACAAACTACAGGGGGCTTTTGTGACAGACCGCATATTACGGGGGTTTTTTATAATTTACCCTTTTGTTTTTCTTGAAAACCGGGTTAAATAACTAGCCCTTTTAAAAATCTCATGTCGTCATGGATGGATGGGCCCCAGGGGGATTACAGATGAGGTTCAAAATTTTCGCCGGCTGCGCGGTTCTAACTTGGCAATCTGCCCACCATATTCGAATCCATTGGGCCATAACCAGATTTTATTCTCCTGATTCAGAGCCAATCCTCTGCAACTCGAAGGCACCAGACGACGCACACAAATATCCGATGCCCAAATAGAACCAGATTTTAATTTCTCGTAAGATCAATCGTCGAGCTGAGAACCAAACGACTCCATGGCGACCGCTTCGCTACTCGAAGCGATTTCATTAGTCCGAGATTCGAAGCTGCCGTCTCTAAAATGGAATCCATTGTTGCAGGGATTCCCATCACAGATTCCTCTTCGGTCGACGAAGAATAGCAAGCATCTTATCAGTACCGCCAGATTTGGCAGAACCTCTAGATTTAGCGCAAGATGTTTCTTGGACTCGAAGAAATGCACCACAGGGTCCGCGGATAACGAGAGAAATCGGAATCTGTTCGAAGGAGTGGTAGAGGCAATATTGAAGGCCCTAAAGACGTTGCAGAAACCGGCAATTGCTGCTGTTTTATTAGGTTTTCTGCTTACATACGATCCTCATTCGGCGTTAGCGGCTTCAGGGGGAAGGATGGGTGGACGGGCGTTCTCATCGCATTCATCGTCGTCGTATTCGTCGAGGAGCTATTCGTCTCGGACAGCGAGCCCTAGTTTTTCGTATTCGATGCCGTATTACGCACCGTCCCCGTTTGGATTTAGCGGTGGCGGCGGGTTTTATGTAGGCCCGGCGTTTGGAGTGGGCGTGGGTGCGGGATCGAGTTTCTTGTTGATTATGGCGGGTTTTGCAGCATTCATTTTGGTGTCGGGTTTCCTTTCGGATAGGTCAGAGGGAAGCGTTCTCACGGATACACAGAAGACAAGTGTTCTCAAGCTTCAGGTATAATAATTAATAGAATAATTGAAGTGTTAAATTGTTGATTGGCGCTTAGTTAAAACAAGAGCTTTTGCTTTCAAAATTGTACACTTAAGTTCCTTAGTTCATTACTTGAAGGTAGAGATCAGAGAGGTTAGAAGATTTTTTGTTCCTAAATTAATATGCCAATTTTTCTTAAGCTTCAGAGTTATGGTTTTGGTTTCTCTTTTCACTTTCACTTTCACTCTCTACCTGTTTGGTGCTAACGATAATTTATTATCATTAGGTTGGGTTACTGGGCATGGCAAGGTCACTTCAAAGAGATCTTGATCGGATTGCCCAAAATGCAGACACGTCTACCTCGGAGGGTTTGAGTTATGTATTGACAGGTGAAGCTACTAATTATGTGTTTTTCTTGTTTGAATCTTTCAATTTTGTTTTGCTTCCGTGACTTGCATTTTTTGATTGTCACCTTTTGTTAATTGAAGTTAATGATTTTTTTAACTAAGTATTCATATTTTAGAGTTTGGAGCAAAATAATCTTGCAACATTAATTATCTTAAGCTTCTTCTCTCTACGTGCGTGTCTATGTATAAAACTAATGTTGGGCTAAAATGCTAAGTTGAACATTTACCTTTAATAAATTAATAAAGTGAAAATCTTTCTGATGTCTTTGCTACCTTATTATGTAGAAGTATATAAAGCTCAAGGAGTTAGATCTCATTCTTAACGACTAATGAAACTGAAGCTCCATCTAATGCAACTTCCCAAACTAGTACATTGCCAATGCCAAGTATTGAGATGTCATAGCTGATTTCACATCAGGGTGTCTATGTCCTTTACAGTTACTATCACCATATTGCCTTTATCCCTCCACCCTTGCTTGGGATACCATTTTGATTATCATTCTCATCCGTTTGGGTCATTGTTGTTGTTGTTGTCTTTTTTTTTTTTTACTGTTTGGCAGTTGATTAGGGCTTCACTTTTTCTCATTTTTTTCATAGTTACTGATGTGCATCTCCTTTCCTTTGATAACTGTGGATGTTTTATTATGAAGGGAGTAAGAAACTTAGAAGTACAGAGGTAGAGAAGAATCATTCTTGATCAACAATTACAATGCATGGGAAAAACCTAAAAAATGAGCTCTCTCATCATTTTTTTTTATCAGAAATGATAACTTTCATTAGAGATAAATTAACCTGAAATACAGAATTCAACCCTTATTAGAAGTGGTTGATCCAATAAACATCAAACATTACAGCACTGCCCAAAAAAGACTCTCCCTTGCAGTTCCTTGTTTTGCTAGGGCATCAGCAAAACCATTTGCTGATCTCCTTACCCACTTGAACCAAACACCCACCTCCCTTGTTATGCTAAGAATTTCCCTTATCAGCTGTCTATATTACCAAATTCCCAGCTTCCCTGATTGCATCCACCCAATTACCAACTTGGAGTCTCCCTCTATCTCAATCTGCTGTAGCCCCAACTGTTTGGCCAGTTTTACACCTTGATGTAGTGCCAAGATTTCCGCTCTTAAGGAATCTCCAACTCCTATTGGACCTGAAAACAAAACCATTATCTTGCCTTCATTATCTCTGAGAATACTTCTTATACCAAATGGGCCTGGATTACTTATAGAGCTTCCATCAAAGTTCAGTTTCACCCTTTGTTGTGCTGTTGGGGACCAAACTTCCTGTATTATAGCTTTGGAAGTAGTAGTAGATGCCACAATACCCCAACTTCTATAAATGTCTTCAACTGAGAAATCCTTAAAAAGATCACAGGATTTCAACCAATGGATAACCTTAGTAGTTATTCCTTCCACAACCTCTTCCTTGGATCTACATCCGCCTTTAAAGATCCTATTGTTTCTTTCYTCCCACACTGACCACAATACARYAGCTCTAGTGGCTCTCCACATAATCCTTCCACGAACCGTTGGTTGCCTGTAAAAAGTTGGATCAAAGAGGTTCACCACGCTTGAGGAGGGAGTCCACCTGTAGCCAAAGAGAGAAGAGAACCAAGACCAAATAAAGAACACAAAGGGACATGAGATTAGTAAATGTGCTCTCTCATCATCCTGGCTTCATCTGGTTTGCTTTTCTATGCACTAGCTAAAATAATGCTTTAATAACGAAAAAAAAAACTAAAATGATTCTTTGAAAGTGCTAGGTGGTTGATTGCTTTATGATGAGAAGGTTTTCATGACCCCAACTACTCACCTTTGCTCCTTTCAATGGCATTTGATGAATGATAGATTTGGGGAGATGAAGCTCCTTAGCATTAAAGTCAAATGGGGATAAACAAGCTTTCTCCATATTGGAGTCCATAGTGTCAATAAAAAGTCTTCTGTCTCTTGAACATGTGGCCGACAACTGTTCCTCTGGCTTCTTATCCAACACCTATGAAAATCCAAGGTTTCTTTGCTGCCATGCTGTGTTCTTGTAGTTGTAAGAAATCTTAGTGAAAGGAAACCCATCAAAAAGAAAAAAAATCTTAGTGAAAGATGTGTGATTTGCTCATTACTAAATATTGGAAAACAATTAACGGTTCAGTTCAAAATATATTTTTTCCCTTTAATTTTTCTTTTTTTCTTTCTTAAGATTTAGCTGATTTCATAGTTAGATTTAGAATGCTTTAAACCAGTGAAAAATAATTGAACTATGAAGCAATTTTTTTGGTATATAGAGTCAAGCAAATCAAACCTTATAATTTATCCATACAATCCATGAATTGATACTCTATGATATGCATGGAATATTAATGAATCAGGAAGGTTTCAAGCCTAAATATGAAACTGGCATGGTTAATTTTCAACTCATAACCTTTCTGTGCACTAGGTTCACATGTATGATTGTAAAATCAATTTGTTCTGTTGGCTATATTGCTGGTTTGTTGCTCTCAGAAGAGTTTCACCAATTAAACCAACTCATAACCATTCTGTGCACTAGGTTCACATGTATGATTGTAAAATCAATTTGTTTTGTTGGCTATAGTTGCTGGTTTGTTGCTCTCAGAAGAGTTTCACCAATTAAACCAACTTAGGATAATGGGTTTGAGTCAATTTCTGGTCTACAACATTCTGCAACTTTGACCTCTGTGATCTTGGTACAGTCATTTCTTTTCTTAGAACTCAATAACAATTAGATTCTCAATATTTGTTTTATTATAAATTAGTTCATGAACTAAATTTATAACTTTTTTTTTTTGAAAAAAAGGTAAGGTAAATTTATTGATGATGAAGGAAACATACAATAAAAGGAAAGCTCTTGATACAAAAAGCCCCGAAGGGACTGGTCAAAGCTCCCATAGATTGACAGTATTAAGCATCATAAACATGTTCTGGTTACAATACACAGGGGTAACAGAAAGCCACGATGCAAGTTTGGCTACAATACACTAGATCAACACCTCTGGCTCTTTTCTCTCATTTCTGAATATTCTGTCAGTTCTCTCAGACTATATAGAGCTGACCACTGCAGCTGGGATGGCATTCCAAATGTATTTTCCTTTCTTTGATAAACCCGGCAGGTACCAGCCATGTAGCAGACTCTTCAATGTACCTGGCATTACCCAATTAATACCAACAGCATTGAAAAAATGAGACCAGATTCTCCAGACAATTGTGCAATGCATACAGAGATGCTCCATAGATTCTTCTTCAAGGCCACAGATTCCACACCAAATATCATTTAAACTCAAACCTCTTTTTGCCAGATTGCTTTTTGTTAGGCATTTCCTTAATGCCGAGGCCAATATCAAGAAGTTGACTTTGGGTGGAACTTGGGGAATCCAGATCTGTTTATGAGGGAAATCAGTAGTTCTTCTAACATTCATTTTATCAACCAAAGATCTCACTGTGAATTTTCCATCAGCAGACCAAATCTAGACCCATTTGTCAGCTGAATGGGGATGGAAAGAAAATGTACTGAGGCAGTTCAACAGATTTACAACCTCCTCAACTTCCCAATCAGGGAAATCCCTTCTGAATTTAGGTTTCCGTACCACTTTCCCATGGATAATTTCAAAAGAATCAGCCAACCTTGCCTCTTTATCAACAGCTGCAGAGAAATGACGAGGAAATTTATCTTCCAAAGATGTCTCATCGAGCCATCTGTCCTTCCAAAACCAAATTCTTTCTCCAACACCTACTTTGGAGCATACTCCTTTTAGGACATGAGGAAGAGTCCTCATTATAGCTTTCCACAAGGAACATCCATAAGAAGGCAACTTGTCAGTTATCCATTCCCCTGGCTGCAGACCATATTTAGATGCAATGAGCTTTCTCCACGAACCATTTTCTTCTACTCCAAATCTCCAGATTCACTTTCCCAATAAAGCAGTATTGAAACTTTTTATTCTTTTCAAGCCTAAACCACCTGAAAACCTTGGACTGCTGATCTGATCCCAAGCAATCACATGTATCTTTTTTTCATCTTTCTTCCCACCCTCTCCACAAGAAGTCCCTTTGCAGCCTTTCTATTCTCTTAGCTATTGAACTAGGAATAGGGAAGAGAGACAGGTTGTAGGTAGGCAGATTTTCCAGAGTACTTTTGATCAATGTTAACCCTTCCACCTTTTGATAGATGCTTTGCTTTCCACTAGGCAAGTTTCTTTTCTAGTCTTTCTAATACTGGTTCCCAAATTGTTGAAGAAGAACATTTAACCCAATGGAAGGCCACGATAGGTGGTGGGGAGCTTATCCATTTTACAACTGACATTCCGGCCCACATGGCAAGATCCACCACATTTCCCACTGGAATCAGGGATGATTTTCCAAGATTCAATTTTAGACCTGTTTTTTTTTTGATAAATAATTTTAGACCTGTTACTACTTCAAACCAAGCAAAGATTCCCACAAGAGTCTCTATTTGGGGGAAAGAAGCATCTATGAAGCACAGTGTATCATCCGCGAAATGAAGCACATTGACCTTTTCACCCCCTGGAGTTGTTTCAAAACCCTCCCAGAGGTCCGCCCGTGACGCCTGTCCTGCCCGATTGATGATGGATTGGGTTAGAACCTCTGTTACACATAGGAAGAGTAAAGGAGACAGGGGGTCTCCTTGGCGAATGCCTCTGGAGCTTTTAAAGAAGCCAGATGAGTTTCCATTAATTATAACTGGAAATTTTGGTGATGAGAAGCATACATTCTTCCAATTTCTCCATTTCTGACTGAAGTTCATCTTTTCCAAAATAAAATTTAGGCATCTCCAGTTAACATGATCATAAGCTTTTTCAAGGTCCACTTTACAAAGGATTCCTGGTTTTCCCGCCCTTATCATTGAGTCGATCACATAATTATCAATAAGAGCACTGTCCAGGATTTGCCTTCCTCCAATAAAAGCACATTGATTATCTGAAATTACACTTCCTAACTGCTTATTTAATCTCTCGGCCAGCACTTATGCAAGGAGTTTGTAAAAGCTATTCAGCAGGCTTATCGGCCTTAAATCTTTGATATTTGTTACTCCTACTTTTGGGATTAAGGTAATGAATGTGGCGTTCAAGCTTCTAACCAAAGAGGCAGAAGCATGAAAATCTTGAAATGCCTTTAGAATATCGTTTTTGATAACAATCCAGCACTTCTTATAGAATAGACTGCTTAAGCCATCATGACCCGGAGATTTATCCAACTCTATTTTCTGAACTGCAGCCCAAATTTCTTCTTCTGAGAAAGGTTTAACCAGATCCTCCTTTTGTGATTCACTTGAAGATTTAAAATGCACACCTTTAGGCAGAGGACGGTTCTTCCACGGCTCCAAGAACAGAGATTTATAGAAGTTTGTAGTGATGGCCTGAATCTTAGTTGGTTGCTCCCCAATCCTACCATCACATTCCAGCCTGTCAATATTATTAATTCTGAAGCGTGCATTTGCCATCTTATGAAAGAATTTGGGTTCTTATCTCCTGCCTTCAACCATTTCACTTTTGCCTTCTGATGCCAACTAATTTCATCTTTGTATGCTAGTTTTTCAAAGTTGATCCTCGCCTCCTCTCTATTTCTTCTCTCCTCTTTAGATAGTTGTCTTTGTTCTTCTAATCTGTCCAGTTCCTTAATCAGCTCCAGGCACTCCAACTTCTTTTGCTTGGTTGAAGAAGCTTTACCTTTCTTCCAATTTCTTATGACAGACTTGATTGCCCCTAATTTCTTAGCCAGCACATAATAACTTGTGTCGTGCCCTCCACCTGGATATCATCCCATTTTTCTGCAATTAGAGTCTTCAGCTCCTCCTCTTCAAGCCAGCTATTGTCAAGTCTGAACGGTGCAGGTTTCTTGATTTGTCTACCCACGACCAACTGAATAGGGCAATGGTCTGAAATTGGCTGCGGTAGAGCTTCTTGCTTAATGCCTGGAAAACTATCTTCCCAATCAGCTGAAACCAAGAACCTATCCAGCTTCACCAGGATTGGGTCTTCCTGATTATTATACCAATTACCAAGTATACTTGAAGTTACCCCCAATTATCCATGGCAATATCGAATTACCCCTCATCTCAACCATCTCCTCCCAGAAAAGATGTCTTTCCCTATCAGTGCTGTAGACGTTCTTAACTTGGCAGCAAACACCCCCTTGCAATTCCAGGATTACTGTAACTGAGAATTCTCCCACTTTATGAGAGATCTTTGTAAACTTGAGGGAATCCCACATTGTAAGAATTCCTCCAGCACTCCCCATTGCAGGCTTACCCACTCATCTCACTTGCCCCTCCCCCCATACACTTCGAACAATTTGCACACTAATTCTTTCAAATTTTGATTCTTGAATAAGCACCACCCCTGCTTTCCATCTTTTCAGGGCCTCACTCACCACCACTTTCCTTCGACCCGACCCTAACCCTCTCACATTCCATGAAAGAAACTTACAATCCATTTAATTTTAGAACAAAGAAAAAAACTCTTACTGCCTCATCCCTTCCTTTCCTCTTCTTCCTCCTTCGACCAACCCCCATGAGAGACAATGAGTCATCTTACTCTTCTTTCCCTGACCTCCTCCTACGTTCTATCCCCTCCTGGAACTCTATGGTTTCGAGTTCCAGACCTTATCAATACACCCAAGAACTTACCCAAACCCAATAACTTCGACATTACCCAGATAGAAGAATACTCTACTCATCTGTTTTTCTCCAATGTAGAAACGCTCTCCTCTCTCTGCTCACTTCTCTCCCTCTCCTCTGATCACTCCCCTCCGGTTCCCTTTGGCATAGATCCTGAGTCCTTTTCCGAATGATTCAACGGGCTCTCCCCTCGCCCTATGCAATCCTCCAACTCTGTTTTGCCCCTTCTTGCTTTAGGTGTCGATGTCCTAGGCATTAACATTGACTCCAAAACGATCTCCTTCCTTGGAACAACTGCTGGTTCATCTGGCAGAGTGTTGGGTTGAGTAACCCAGTTTGGTCCATCCAAAATGTACGGCCCATCCCTTTTTCCTTCGAGGCCCACCTCATGCGACATGCTTGCCATTTGACATGACACACCCGGGCTTGGGTTAGGAGCCCCGATCCGCCTGCCCATCTTATGAGGTTTTTGGACATAAATGGAGCCTCGATCGGATAAGTTTTTAGCCTCATCTTCTGGGAAGGTTTTCCTTGGAGAAGGTGTTTTAGTGACATCTGGACCCTGGTTAGGCCCCACACCTAACTCTATTAAGCAATCTTTAATAAGATTCTTCAAAGCCAGCCTCGAGTCACCTTCATCAGTCCCCGGATTCAGAACAATAAAGGATTTCTGTTTTTGAGGCACCCGTTCCTTGTTGGAAGCCACATGGATGTCTGGCAATTATTGCAGGTCTTGGCATGTGCATTCCAACTGAGGTAGTTGTTGGTCAACCTTCTGAGTTGTATCTGATACAGTTCCCTGCAAGTCTTTCTTCCTTTCCTCCGGCCACATTCCATTCCTGGAGACCTCTTTAGCCGGTTTATTAATTTTCTCAATAATATCTATTTTCTTTTCTTTTTGCAACAGCTTCTTTTAGGGGTTTCCTTGGGAGGAAGTTGGTTGGGGCATGGTGAAATTTCTTTCCAAAGAGGATTTTGCCCCTCTTTAAATTGAACTGTTCTTTTTGTTTCCTTAAATGCAGTTAGTGGTTCTTTTTTTTAGCATTCTATGAGTCCTTGGGTTTTATACAAGGAGTGAATCGGTGAATCCTCTTAAATAGATTTGTGGTGGGGAATTCCATGTCTCCGTCATATATATACTGAATCATAGCAACCTGAGACTTCCTATCAATAGCAAACAAAGCAATGGTAAGTCCATATTATACACAAATAAATTACAAAACAAATAAAGATAAATAGGGAAAAAGAAGATTAAAAAGGCCTCTAGCGATCAACATAAGGACAAATGAGCTATGTTGATAGTTTGGCATTATCATTTCAAAGAGGAGCTTCCAGATTATCTTGAGTACTGAATCCTTGTAAAAATTGATGGACGAAAGGTCCAAATGGAAATTCAACAGATTTTGTTTTGACCATAATTACAGTGGCTTATGAGTTATGGCAATACATTTAGAAGATGTGGTAGTACAAAGGACATCGATTTGGGTTATTCTTCATAGACAGCAAGACATTTCACAAGTTTGCATTAGTCAAGTTCTTGTCTAAAGTTTAGTCATGCCGCTGAATGTTGCTTGTATCGATGTCTCTTCCTCTCTCCCCCGACCCTCTTTACATTGAAGTTTCAAGAATTATCTTTTCTTCCTGACAAAATACATCTCATGTCACAGAAAACTTTGAGTTATGCTTATGATGTTGTGCTTTTGTTCCGATATTCTTGTTTATTGTGGAGTCTGATTGTCTATGATGTTGGTTACTGGTTAATGAAACATAAAGGTTTTCTTACATTGAAGTCTCCTATTTCTGGTTATGGTTGCAGAAACCACGTTAGCCTTGCTTCGGCATCCAGATTGTTGCATCTCCGGTTATTCATCTGTAAGTTTAATATGACCTCATTGAATCTTGCTGTTGAGCACTACTTAATATGCTTGTTTATCCAGATATGGAAGATGGTTTTACTTTTCCTTTCTTTGGCATTGGTGTTTGAAAAGTTTAATTTCAAAGAGAGAGGAACTTAGCTTGTGATAGGTCAGATTCTTTCTCTGTCAAATATTTCTAATTTCTTCAAGAAATTGGATCCTCAATCCTCAAATGACTTCCCAAGCTTCAAATATGGCACCCAGTAACACCGCTTAAAGTGGCATTTTTAGTGTGGACTTCGGGTCTAGAGAAACACCTAAAAGTAGATAGACTGTTGAGTAGGGGAATGGTAGGATAGCATCAAGTATCAACTGTACCCTCTTTTTGGCTGAGGTTGAGATGGCAAATCATCTATTTCTGCAATCTTATCTACAAACTAACTTATGGAAAGCAGCCCTAGATACCTTTGGATGGAGAGGTTGCTTTTCAGATTCTTTAACTTTTTTCTTCAAGGATGGGACCTGGAAAGTTTAAGCAAGGAAAACAAAAGGCTGTACGGGGATTAACACCTTTTGCCATATTCTGGTGTGTTTGGTCTTAGAGAAATTCCTGTATTTAAGAACAAATCAAATGCACAGGCAGGGCTGCAAAAAAGAATTAAAGGCATGTTGTGTTTGTGGCTGACTATCCCAAAGTTTCCAGGGAAATGTCCTGCAACAGATATTTTGACAAGGACATTTTTGTTTCATGTTGAAATTTGAAAATATTCTGACTCATACTTTATGTACAATCCCAGTGTACAGTGGCTTGGTGTACATGGGCACTTGATGTAATCATTTTGCTTTATCTTTAATACAAAAATTTACCTTTTTCAATAAAAAACTGAATTTTCAGTATCTAAATTACCATAGAATTCTTGTTTCTTTCTCTGTCTAGCTTGGAAAATAAGGAGCAATGAGATGTCGTATATGACTGTAAAGTGAAGAAGCAAGGAGTTCCTGATTTAACTAAAGACCCTTGAATGTTTATAGTTTGTAGTGTTATTGACTTAGGTAATTCATACGTGTCTTGCCTTTTTACAAGATTATAGGAGGACCCTTAACCTTTTGGTTGGTAGCTTGACTTTTTAGTGATCATTTTTGTTTAGCCCAAACTTTTGTATTGGTTTTACCTTGCCCAACAAGATTATTGCAGTTTTTACCATAAAAGGTGCTGTGCAGAATCTAATGTTAGGCCTTTTTCAGTTTGCACTTGCATTCAAAATTTCTTTATTAGATCTTAAAAGCCATAAAAAGTATTTGTATCTTCCTTTGCAGGTGGATGTGAAGCGAAGCATGGAGGATGGGGAGAAACGGTTCAATCAACTTTCCATTGAAGAGAGGGGGAAATTTGATGAGGAGACCCTTGTTAATGTCAACAACATTAGAAGGCAAAGCACAACCACCCAGAGGGCCAATGGATTCAGCAACGAGTACATAGTGGTAAGATCATCTCTTACATGGCCGGTTCCCAGATTAATATTTTAGTTCTGGTAAATCAATGGGTTGTTGGATGATGAGAAACTGGTTTACTAATGATGATCGACTGCCAGTTTTTTTTTTTTTTGTTATTTTTGGTTACTTATTTTACATGCTTTTGTATTCTCTCTCTTTTATATATATTGGTATTTTTTTGATGAATAATGATGTAATTTATTAAATAAACTGAAAAGAGTACAACATATCAGTCATTCCAGATATTGAGATAACCATGGCCCAAAAGAACTAGAGAGAAATAAAGAAAGGCCATCCCTCCAAACAGTAATTACAAGTCACACCTTATAGTAGGAGGTATTACATATCAGGAAACAGTCGATCTCCCCAGAATAGATTTTCTCTTTCCACCCCTTGTCTAGCCAAGCCATCTGCCAACCCATTTGCAGATCTGTAAATCCATTGAACAGCTACCACTCTTTCATTTGAGCTCAACATTCTCTCTCAGAATGTGTCTGTACTGCAAGGGCTCCTCTCTGCTTTCCTAACCCATTCCACCTCCATGATCAGCTGGACCAGAAAAGAAGACCAAGGATGCTCCCATGATCCCATCAGCAATTCTGAAAACTCCTCCCATACCGGAAGGTCTGGGATTGCCTCTACTGCAACCATCAAAGTTGAGCTTAATCTGCATGTCTGTAGGGGGTTCTCAACTAGGTTGAACAGGCACTCTGGTAATGGAAGAGGTTGCTATCATTCCCCAATTCTTAATAATATCATCAGTGGAGAATGACCTAAAAAGGCTTAAAATCTTCACCCAATTATTTATATATATCATTTGTTTTGATGATTAGGTATATCACTATTGATCATATTTAATCTTTTGAAACTTTCTGCTTGATTTGGTCATCTGGATGTTTTTTGAGTGACATGACCAGGGTTAATACTTGTTTTATTACCTAAAATGCGAAATTTCTTTCATGGGTTTTGCATATAATAAATAATGTATTTACTATTTATCTTTTGTGGCAATTCTGAGTTACTTACTCAACGTGTATATATAAGTCCATATGGGGGAGAGAAGTAGCTTTGCCTTCTAGGGGATTGCTTTGGTTGCCATGTAACCTTTTGCAAGTTTATAGAGATCGTATTTAACTGGTTTGCTAATAGCCATAAGCACTCTTAAGGTAGAAGGATTTGATTATTTAGGTTCCAGTAATGGGAAATGATTAATGTGATGCAAATGCTTTTTTTTTTTTTTAATTTTTGGATGGGGAAGCTTCAATTATGTGGCAGTGTTTTAAAAGGCGTGGGAGGCACGCCTCCAGGTGAGGCACCCCCAAAATGCCGAGGCATAGGCCAGAGGCGCTGACACCTCTAAGGCATACGCTTCATATGCTTTTTCATGAGGTGTGCTAGAGGTGTACACCTCGTGTAAAAAGAACAAAGAAAAAGAATAAAAAGAAAGGAAAGGAAAAGAAAGGGAAGGGAAAGAAAAAGAAAGAGAAGAAAAAAACAGAAAAAGAAAAGGTAAGGAAGAAAAGATAAGGGAAAAGACACCCTTTCAACTAGTGCTATGCATCTTCATTCTTCTTAATATAAAAGATTTTTATTAAAAATGAAGAAAAATGAGATCCTCCTTCCTCTTCTTCTTCCCCATCCTCTTTCTTCCTCATCCCCCCCTCTTAAGGAGGCTTATATCGTGTTTGGGAGGCTTACGCCTCTTATGTTCTGAACTATGCCTCACGCCTCTATGTAGTAGAATGCCTCGCGTCAATGCCTCCGCGTTTTAAAACATTGTTATGTAGTTAACTGTAACTTCTAAATTTGTTTGGATAAAGACAAATGATTTTGATCTGCATGGACAAAGTTGGTCTCTACTTTTTTTGTGGTTTATGTGGATTATGGAAGCTAGAAAATGGTGGTAATTAGGCAAGGTGCCAACCAGCTAGTTGGTAAGGTCTCCTGCTGGTCATAGCAGAGACTTGGGATTGAATCCCGCCTGCACCTGGGTTGGGGGCTGGGCTACCCCCTGTTGTGTAGCCCTTCAAAAGATATATATATATATATATATATATATATATATATATATATAAGAAAATGGTGGTGATTAGCATTTTTATGAACTTGTTAAGATAAAAAAAAGTGAAAGGGAAGACTAAAATCTAAAAAGTTGAAAAGGGAAATTTAAAAACATTTATGCTCCTCTTTTGGTGCTGGGTTCATATTGACAAACAAGGATAAAAGTTAGTAATTTGTAATCTTGTCTCTTGCTGCCAAAACTTCGACTGGAAACTTTAGCTGTTTTCATTAAATGGATTGGAAGCATCTGACAGGGATGATTTAATGTGATGTTATGAACATGATACCAACACAAGACAAGGGAAATACTCCTCTATCCTCCCCTCTACCAAAAGAAAAAGGGAAAAGGAGGATCTAACATAATTGCACCAGAAAGTAGCATGCTGTGAATCTCCCTTTCTTTGTTGATTTAGTAAGATCTTAACTTTGCAATTGAAATTGTTCCTTAATACACCTCTTTTCCTTTTCAGATTACAATCTTGGTTGCAGCTGAAGGAGTACACAAATTACCTGCCATCAATGGGAGTGCAGACTTAAAGGAGGCCTTACAAAAGCTGGGTTCTATCCCCTCCCGCAAAACTCTGGTAATATTATAATTAATTATGTAAATTATAAACATCATGCTTTTTCTAGGCCTTTTCTGAAACTTATTTCGATTTCTATGCAGGCAGTTGAGGTATTATGGACTCCTCAGAACGAAAATGATACATTATCAGAGAGGGAACTGCTTGAAGATTATCCACTTTTGAGGCCCCTGTAACATTGAAGAACTGGTTTAAAAATAAGAACTGATGTAGGATCTGACTGGTATATTTAGAAAGTAGATGTCTATAAAATTAGACAAATTATTTCCATATATGATTAATTACACGACCAAGCTGTTGTACAGGATATCTAAAATTATCAAGGATGCATTCTATCAAAATAAAAAAACAAGGGCTAATTTCTAGTGCCTCGCCACCTGTCTTTCCTCTGGAGATCAATCTTCTAGCTTGATATCCAATGCCAGTTACGTATGCTACCTGCTTGCAGGAACGATATGACCACCCAGTACCAGCAGCTCAAGAACTAGCAATTTGCAGCTGCAGGAATTAATTAGCTTTTATAGAGAGGTCAGATCCAATGGTTTAGTGTAACACTACATGTCTTCTGTTGGTTTTGTTGATTGTTGTCTTTGCAGGGTTGCAGCCTATTTGCAGTGTTAAAATCACTCTCACTGGAGCTATAAGAACTTAAGAAGGCTCGTTTCATTTCGCACCCTGTAAATTGATTAAAGTGTTCTTGAGTTGTTGCTACACTGGAACGTAGTAATGAGCGGATCACTTGAAGCTTGTTTGGTAATTATTTGCGGTTTCATATGGTAGGCAGGTAGGGGAACTTGGTTGGGCAGAAGTGGTAACGCTGATTATTGTTTTAAGGTATCATGGTTCCAGTCTCTAATCTTCATTTTGGGTCTGGTTAGTAATCATATTGCATGTGGATTTAACCCCGTCTGAACATATTTATTCATGTAGTTATATGTAAGTTAAAAGTAATTATTCTTAAGAAATAGTTCATCTTAATGAAATATAGCGTGGACTCTGGTAAAATCCAAATCCATGAAGGTTTGAATCCAAGATCTGGGTGTTACTGGGTCCCATCTGAACCTGACCTGATTACAGCCATACCAAGATGTAGGTTTCCCCTAATTTGTGCCAGATTTTATTGTTTTTTTATCGAAGGCTCAGTTTGGAAAGAGTACGCAATTACGCATACAAATATGTGCGGTACATACAAATACAGAAAAAATACAAAATTTTACCTTCTACATAGTTATTTGTATTCCTTTCAAACCGAGCATAATGTTTTGGGGTTGAATACAAATTGCTGTTTGCATTTTCTAGTTGAAATGAGTCTGAATGTATGATGTCATGACACATTTTTCATCAATTTGTATGGATCAACTGAAAACGTTTCAGTTAAAAGCAACAATTCTACCAAACACAAATTACACAACCTTAACAATCTTACAGAGCGTGCTTATAACCAAATGAAAATTCAAAATTGATGTGAATGATTAAAGAGTATTTGTCTTTTTTATTATTTATTTTTATATTATATAATAAAATAAGGTGTATAATTCACAGCCAAGGTTTTAAATTGTCACTGTCACCCTTTGTGATGAATATTTATTTATGGTTTCAGGTGATTTTTTGATAAATTTTAATTATACTATTAATAATTCTAGTGGTGTATAGTACATTTGTTTATGTTACTTTTTAATAATATTCTGAAATTTCATGTGAAATAAATGATACAAATTCCAAATCCCAAGTTATGAAATTTTGGCCTAAATAGATCTGCCTAGACTATGTCATGTATCATGTTAGTGGCTAAGAAAACCTAGTGGGAGTGCAATGGTTGGTTAGGGAGTGGGAGTGCGAGAGGAGAGCCGACAGTGTTAACATCTAAGACCAGAGATCCATATTCTTCATAGATGGAGAAGGAAAGACTAAGAAGATGAACATCTTGAGGAAATCTGAATCGCTGCAAAATCTAGCTACTTGTAAACTATATGGGAAAATTTTGTCTAATAAACCACTCAATATCGAAGGGGTTTTACAATAGATACACAGGATGTGGTGGTGGACTGCGGAGGATTATAAAGTTGAATTGGTAGAAGGAGACGCCCTATGGATCAAGGAAGGTGAGATGGCGCTAAGGAGAAGAGGAAGAAATTGGTTGGAAGGGAAGCAAAGTTTTTGTGTTTGGATGCGAGTGGATGTTAGTGAACCTCTAGCAAAGGGGGGCTTAGGGCCTATTGGATGGTGAAAAGGAGGAATGGTTTGCATTCAAATATGAAAAACTCCCCATTTTTTGCTTTAGCTGTGGACGGCTTGGACATAGTGAAAAATACTGTGAAAATAAAGAAGACTAGCAGAAAGTAGTACATGAAATATCACATCAACTGGGTATGAATCTAATGAAAGACTACAGAGGACCCACTGGCTATGGTCCCTGGTTAATGGCTGAGGAAGATAAGGATGAGGGTTGTTTCCTAAACAAGAAGAGGGCTGATGCCAAACTGGTGGAAAAGGAACCTACCCGGGAAGGATTATGTATGGAGCCAAATATCGAAAAATCTCAGTTGGTGGTGGCGAAGCATTCTGAGCTGAAAGAAGGAGAAAAGCTAGGAGGGGAGAACACTCTAGAGAAGAAAAGCCATGTGATAATCGAAGGAAGCTGTAGCGAAACGAAGGAGGATGGAAGCACTAGAAGATTTGTTGGTGGTCTCAACATCAAACTATCGCCGGTGAAGGGCTGCCAACGACACTCAAGCTTTTTCTCCAATGGGCACTGATGGTGCGCAATTCGGCCGGTCCTACCTGTCAACGACCTTGTCTCTGACAGGAGCAACAAGGGGGCCTGAAACGGAGAAGAAAGTGGGGAATCTCCGGGGAGGAACCTAGCGAGATCACTCCGAAGCTCAAGTTAGTATTCTCTCAAAGGCAAGATAAAACCAGATGGCGCAAAGTTCACATACCTTGCCCTCGGGGGGTAGAGAGCCTTTTATAACCACTTCGCGCACTCACTCCGAGGCTTCTTCAAGGGGGTC